ATTATGCCTTTACTGCTTAGAACGAGTAAATCCATACCATGAAAAATACAGTAATTATATCAGTTAAACTAAGTGTTATTGTCAAACAAGCACTTACTGCATTAAATTTGTCTCATTAGATTTATTTTTTAAGTCTCAAAAAACAATAATGATATTTGCTAAAAGTGCATAAGAAAGTATTAAATACATCTGTATAAAAAGTGTGTATTCAAACAAGCAATCAGAAGCCTGGGTTAATCGATAAAATAAAACTTTACAATGCGGAACTTTGGGCAGCACTAATGCAAAATTAATTGAACGTAGCTTAAAACGCACGTGACAACAAAATTTATGCAGTTTATCGTCAGTGATAATGATGAGAGTAAAGATAATTTTCTCACGAGGAATCAAACAATTCGGGAGATAAATATATCACTCTATAATCAAAATGAAAAAAAAAACGAGTAATTTTTTTTTCTTTTTTTATCAAAAACTACACGACTATCAGCGCTCTTTCCACCGCAGGAAATTGAACCCTAGATTTCAACGTTGTAATCCTGACCTTCCGGGAGGGGGGGGGACGTAAATAATTAACAATAATAGCACTATGAATCGATTTACACAATCTGTGTTTCACGTCATTTTGCTATTTTGAAAATTAACGAGCGCTAAAAGAATCTTCGCACATATTATAAATCTCCATTTATAACAGATTCAGTTAAATGGCTGAAAATAACCGTCATTACGCACGATAACGTTCACAAACCCTCAAGAGACTAGTATAAATTATTAACACAATGCCACCACGTGTTGGATTGTAACCAATCAGTAAGATAATATGGTAAATTGTCAGTTACGTAAGAAGTCTATTCACACGTGACTCGTACTAGAGTTACGTATCTCTGACTATCATATTAGCTTTAAAATATATTACTACCGTAGATGCACAAACGCCTTTTTTATGATATGAAGTACTTCAAAATTATCAGAGATTTAAAATATTACTATCTTGACATTGTACTCAAGATGGGTTTAAACTTTAAATCATAAAGACCTAACGAGAAAATTCAAAACCCAAATCATTTTTCTGTAATTTGAACATTAGGGGAGGTATGGTATTTATATTAAACAGATATGAATGTAACTAAACAAATAAATGGTGACTATTCAACGAGTGAGCTCAATGCCTAATTATTTTAAGACAATATAGCTATGAAAATTAAACAATCACATACTGAAAAATTTAATTTTTAATTAATATTTTCCTAAGATTTATGGCCTAGGCTTAGAAAATAGTGTTTGATTTAATTTTAGTAGATTTAGTAAATTTTTCAATATTTCTTACGAGTTTCTTTTTCTTATCTTTATCTGATGATCTAAATTTCGAAGGAAATATACTAGACAAAATCTCTGTAACTTATAACTGATACTGATAGCGCTTTGATGGTAAATCAAAAACGTCTGGCCTACTCATTTACTCAGGCTTAAAATTGCCTTAAAAGCTCAGCTAGGCCTAGGCTACAGGCCTAAGGTTAACCCATTACTCATTAGGCTTACCTTATGTAGTAAGACCGCGTTACTACTATTTTCCGAATTATTTTAAAATTTTAACCATACTATTTATTGTAAAGTTTATAACAAAAATATTCCACGTGTTCTAACTTGACCAACTGTCTGTTCTATTGAATGTTATCTAAAACAAAGTAAAAAAAAAATTGTATATATATGAAAAATCTGATAAATTGTTTTCACAATATAATCAAAACATAACAAACATTTGTTTAGAAATCGAGTTTCATTCATATATACTGACCACCCAAAAATCTATAAACGAAGCTATTTTAAAAAACAATATACTTAGATTACAATAAAGTTTATTCTCCAACACAGGCGCCAGCTCCATTTAAACCTCAAACACCTGCTCAATAGTTTATTCAGGTGTAGTTGTATGCCTCTGTTTGAGTTCCATCTATTCGGAATTAACCCAAATGCGTTGAAAAGTAATCAAGGAGTAAAAACCGGGTAAAAACCAGCAATTCAGAGCCCATCAAAATAAGAGACTAGGCCCAGCCCGAAGTTCAGGCTCTCGATCTGTTTTTATGAAATTTTGCCACGTATCTGATTCAGAGATTCTATAGTATTGCGAGGGTGTGAACGCTTTTTACAAACTGGCGAATCATGATCATATCAAACTAGTAGAGCAGCCGGCGTTGCTCGGATGAAAATGGTTTTAAATATCCTGAGATGTCTTCATTAAATCAACCATACTAATCTTGATTTTTTGCAAAATAATCAAAATGATTTCTTTACCTAACTAAATATTTTGATTAAAATCATAAAAATAACAATGTGCGAAAAAATAAAAATTTGCTAGTTATTTCAATCGAAGCCAAACCTGGTACATTGCTCCTGCTTCTTGCATGACATTTCAAGTTTCCAAAACAAAATTCCCTACCTTTTGGTGTCTTGCTTTTTGCTGTGTGGTCAAGTGTCGTTTGCAGCATATTCTGACTTGATTATCGTTCCATTTAATAAAGAACTGATTTAATCTCTTCTCGTTGCAACACAACGTAAATAAAAAATTTGCCGTTACCAAACGTTTTTGTAAAGTCATCGTATAGCTGATTATTGCGAGTACACGCAAGCAAAACAGAAGACATGGCTGAAGCAAGCCTATTTAGTTGAGGGAGTGTGCGTGCATGTTCGAGAAAAAGCACCAGCTTTTTTCAGTTAAGGGGAGTTGGAGAGTAGACATGCATGTGCAGAAGAAAGAGCTGCACAAATATTTCAAATCATTGTAACACATAATTGATCATGGATAGAATGACTAGAAGTCCTAACACAGAGAAGAAACGTAAATAATAGCCCTCTTGATCACACATTACCAAAAAATCCAGCCTTTTCAATATGAGACCAATTGGTCCTCCTGTTTGACAAAAATTAATATACTGGTCATTTTGGCTTCAATTTACGCTCTCAAAATGGCCCATTTTACTTCCTGCACAAAGTTATATCTGTACCCTGAGTTGTAGCTTTAAAGGTTTGGCCGTGCACAAGGAACAGACCCACTGAGAGAGAGAAAGAACCCGCCAACGAAATAAGAACGTTGTAATAGTATAAAGCGGCTTGTGTCTCTTTTGTCCGTAATGAAAGTTTTTCATAATCTCGACCTCTGACAACGAGGAGACTTGGAGGTTTCTGGATTCTAAGACACCTTACTCTATTCATTTTCTCATTATTTCGATTTCGACAGCGATTTTACCCACCCCTTCCTTACTGCTTCTCTAACTCTGATTACCATATAAATGCCGGGTATCGCTCAGTAGTTAGCGTGCCGGAATGTGAATTCAAGGGTTCATGGTTCGCATCTTGTTGTCGGAAAAAAAAAAGCTTTCCGGGATTTATGTCTAATTTTTATGAGGTCAGTGTCCATTTTTCATTTTCTCTTTGCCACTATCTTAGTGCTTATTTTTAATAAATCGTTAGTTATCTTTATCAGGAAATTGAAATCATTCCATAATAGATTAAAAAAAAAAACACTATAATTTATTCACTGGAATATTCTAAGCATTCAAAAGTAAAACTCATTTTCATACAAACTTCAGAGATAACAAAACAAATGCCTCACGTAGAGCGGTAATTTACCTTTGCAACTTAAATACGTCAAATCAAAGGAGTTAACTCGAGATGAATACCACATCATTCTGAAAGTGTGAAACCTTTTAACTTCTAGAAGCTTCAAATATAAGTATTCATTAAGTGTTAACACAATATATTCGTACCGTACCGTTTCCTGTCTTCAATCGGTATCTCATTTTCTTAACGTTTCACTATTAATTAAGCCTGATTGTTCTATAAAGTGCAGTGACCATAAGATATTTGACTACAGTTGGCAGACGATCTAGATCCACTTTCTTGCTGAACGAGAGCTAGTAATACTAACAAAAGACTTTGCCTACTTATGAACCTCCTTATTTTATTATTTTACAATGAAATTATCTGTTGTTACTTGGGATGAAACTCAACTTGTACTACTCTGGTCACTAGAGTCAAACAATGGGCCTAATATCAGGGTAAAAAACATCAGTTTATTTTTTGTTCTTTTCAATTTCAGTTTGTCCCAATTGTAATTATACTTTATGGTCCAAAGAATTAGATGATTATTACATCCCCTCAAAAAAGGCACTAAGTTTTTGAAACTATCTCAAGTAAACTAAGTTTTCTAAAAGTGGTAAAACTGAAAAGCGAGTTCATTGCAACTAGCTGTTACCGAACTGGCTCATGTGTTACACAAACACTTAAAATATCCAAGCCTGTTCACTCCTCCTATTTAGTTATATATCACTACGCATATACAAATAGGTAAATAATAGTTACATCGTCTAGATCAAGTTTTACAAATTAGATGACTATAACTTCGAGTGTAAGTATCACTAACTCACCATAATTCTTTTATTTTGTTTAAATACTAAGAGACTTTGATAACAAGTTTTATGAGGCTAATTTCAAATAAACTTTATGGATGCCATAAAAAAGATGCTGTGAAACTAAAATATATCCAAATTGTTTTATCTCATAATAAGATACTGATGTTTAAGTTCATTTTCAGAGGGTTTTTTGTTGTTGTTGTAACTAAGGTGTACTTTATTTACAGATACCAATATTATGTATAACATTCTAGTAAATCAACACACGTTAACAAGTCCTTTAATTATTACTTTTATTTTCAGCTGATAAAAAAACAAACGACTGGATTTTACCCTTTTAACTTTATCATTAAAACTTGATATCTATAGGGTACAGGACGTTTATTCAGTTTTTCTTCTCCTCTGTTTGCATGGTAACAATATACCTGTAGTGTTTGAAACTAAATACTGAAACTTTCCAGGCACCATATCACATACACCTTTGTTGTATATTATATCATTTAATCCTTTGAATAGGGCCTACAGTATCAGTACCAATGAGCAGATATAAAAATCTCACAAAGCAAACATCCATCAAGCTTATCAGAAACTTACCTGGGGACTTTGACTTCCTGGCTGCACATAGCTACTCATCTGAGATGTACATTGATCATATCTGCCAATCTGTGAATTCTGGGCTGAAAGCTGACTCCCTGTCTGCTGAGAGGTGATAATTTAATGTTTCAAACATATCTACAATTTTATCATAACTTTGGAGAAAAAGATACTTCAGAAGATCCTACAATCTTCAAAGGTCTTCCTTATTCTATTATTACAATTAGCAACAATGTAGGGGGCAACTCCGCATAAAATTAAAAGGACATTCCATTAAAAGTTAGATAAATTCACTTTAATTTGACTGATTTCACTTCAATAATTTTTAATGTTATTTTTCTCCTGCATAGACATACTGATTCAGAACAAAAAGTTCAGTTCCTCCTTTTGCTTTGATTTCCAAATTAATTGGCTTTTTTTTTACTTCACTTATTACTTTTTCAGCAAATTTTCTCTTTTTTTTACTTCTATTTTACTTTGAAAGAGGCATATTAATGATTGAAACACAACATATTAGTTCATAATTTCAGAAACAGATAAAACATAATAATAATGCTACAATTAATATTAAAAATTAATTAAAATGTGTCCTTTAAGTTGATTATTCAGTACACTTCTTTATTTACTGCTTGAGAATTTGGCTATGAAAGTTAACATAATGACATTTTTATGATAAAAAATTAAATAAAACTCAGAATACTGTTTCAGTGCATGAACAAACAATACACATTGTGATCTTTTTTGAAAATAAAAAGGAAAAAGCAATAGCAGATGCTAGTTTGTGTTTCTAAATTAACATTTTTCAAATTTCAGATATAGGAAAAATAACTTTAAAAAATAAAGTTATAAACAATTATTATATATATATTTCATCAATGGTAAAATCTGTTAGCTTCTTATGCTGTTATTTTACAAATGTTACAAGACCTACATTTCTGTATTTCTTTACTTTATTCACAAATCCTTTTATAATTTCTTCATCACCAAAAAAAGTTTAATAAACAACTGAAAATCAAACCAGCTGATTAAAACAAAATCAATAATTCACCTACTTGTTGTGGGTAAACCTGACTAACAGTGCGAGATGAAAAACTTTGTGGTTGTCCTTGAGTTGATGAAAATGATCGCTGAGCAAACTGCTGACCATACTGAGACTGAGTTGGTGATCTAAGGGGATTCTGCTGACCAGGGGAAAGGTATGCCCGTTTCATACTGGGCTCAGATATAGACCCACCCTAAAATTTAAAAGTACTTTTTTAAATGAAATATATATATTTTTTCCACTTCTAGAAGAAAAAACCCTTTTTTTAATATACTTATATTCATCAAATTTACTGTCTATCATATTGAACTGACAGCCAAATACCAGAGAAATCTCTGTAACACAGTGTCCAAACAGAGAAATCACATTAGACTGTTGAAAATGTTAAGATAGAAAGTGAAACTGACTTTACACTTAAGTACAAAACGTTAAGTAACAAGTTCAAGTATTAATCTGTTGGTACTTTTTTAATATACACTGTTACGGTATATGTTTGAATGTTTTATTGAGCAGGAATTTGTATAAGAGATGCCAAGTAATAAAAGAAACACAACAGCAAGAACAAACACTTGTTTTAGTAAAAATTCATTATTCTATTAAGCTTGATCTAAATAAATAAAAGTGTTATGTTATTGATATTAACTTCTGATTATAGCAAGCTACCTACTTAGATAAAGAATTACCCTGATATTCAGTACAGCTAATTAAATACTGTTCTTACATTCTTTCTCATACAGATTAGAACCCATTGTTTAATCCCAATAATCAACCAGCTTAGGATATTCAGGTTAGTCCTATATCCAAATACTAGACTAAATAATCTCTATAACAAAACATAATAATCAAAAATTAGAAATAATAAAAATATACTTTAAACATCCTGCCTAACAGTGTTAATGAAAGTAACATTTAAAAAATGAAAAAAACACACCATTCTTACAGAACACAAATATAATGGAGTATCTCTTACTTACACAACACACAAATATAACGGAGTATCACAAATATAATGGAGTATCTCTTACTTACAGAACACACAAATATAATGGAGTATCTCTTACTTACAGAACAC